TGGTGGTGATGGTGGTGGCTTTGATGATGATGATGACGATGATGATGATGACGATGATGATGACGATGATGATGACGATGATGATGATGCTTATGATGATGCTTATGATGATGCTGATGCTGATGCTGATGCTGATGCTGATGCTGATGGTCGTGGTGGGGACGATGATGGGGGTGGCGATGATGGTGCTGCTGCTGATGAGGATGGTGACGACGACGGCAATGACAGTGCTGATGAGGATGATGTTGATAATGATGATGATAATGACGATGCTGATGATGATGATGTTGATGATGATGATGATGATGATGATGATGGCAACGACGAGGATGATGGTGGTGCTGGTGGAGATGATGGTGGTGGTGGTGATGATCATGATAATTCCGATGATTGATGATGCTGCTGCTGATGAGGATGGTGAGAACGACTGCGATGATGGTGATGACGAGGATGATGTTGATAATGATGACGATGATGGTGACGATGTTGTTGATGATGGTGAGGGTGGTGGTTATGATGATGATGGTGGTGGTTATGATTCGGAGCGTGATTACGATTATGATGACGATGATGATGCTGCTGCTGATGATGCTGATGATGATTATGACGCTTATGAAGACGAAGCTGCTGCGTATGATTGAGCTGCTGATCATGGTGGCACCTGCGATGATCATGATGTTGTTATTGATGGTGGTGATGCAAAACGAAGATGAATATGAATATGAATATGAAGCTGACGATGATGCATATGATAATGATGGTGGTGATGATGCTGATGCTGGTGACGATGATGATGATGATGATGATGATGATGATGCTGATGCCGATGCTGATGCTGATGCTGATGCTGATGCTGATGATGCCGACGATGATTATGATGATAATGATGATGGTGGTGTGACAAGATGGATCCCAAATAGATATTAACCGGGGCTTCTAATGTTCCAGCATTATTGAATCGGGTTCCTAATGTCTCCCCCGGGACATTATGTACTTGGGTGTCGATGTTCTGGGAATATCGACTGGGGCTCATAATTTTTCCCCAGGAACAATATAAACCCTGGCTTATAATGTTCTGGGGATATCGACCCCCAAAACATGTTAACCTGGGTTCATCGTGTTCTGGGAATATTGACTGGGGGGTTTACATTGTCCCGGGAATAATGAACCCCGTTTTCGTAATTCTGGAATGATAATAATCATAATGTTCCCCCTAACCCTTGGGTTCTCCACCAAGTTTTTCATATCGGAATATTGACCCTAGTTCATTATCTCCACGAGATTTATAAACCCGGACTCATTAGGTTGCCGGAATACTGACCCCGGGTTAAATCGTTTTGGAATGATAACGGTTGAGCTTGGGGGACGCCTTTTGAGAGTACGTTCCGGACTGAAGCAATTTGTGGTTCATAATGTTGGAATATTAAACGTAGGTTGATTATTCCGGAAAGATAATGATTCGGCCGGGGGGGGGCCTGGCCCGATCCATTCACAGGACAATAATCCATAGGGTATCATCTGAAGATTCGAAGATAATGAACCTAGGTTTTCATCCTTGGATAATCAACCACGGTCGACGAGGATGTCGGAGGTGGCCTCGGTGGTGATGATGATGATGTTGATGCTGCTGATGCTGAGGATAATGATGACGATGCTGGTGATGATGATGGTGGAAATGTTGATGATGCTGATGATGACGACGACGAGATGGAGGAGGAGGTGGAACACGAGGAAGAGGAGGATAATGGGTGTTGTGGATGTTATTGCCAGTGGTGACGACAATGACTATGGTGACGATGACGACGATGCTGCTGCTCCTGGTGATGGTGATGCTGATGGTGATCAGTATGACGATGAAGATGGTGATGTTGATGATGTTGATTATGGTGGTGATGAGATGATGATTATGATGATGCTGATGATGGTGATGATGCTCATCATGATGTTGATGATGTTGCTACTGCTGCTGATTGTGATTTTGATAAGTTTGATGATGATGATGATGAGGAGGATGATCCTGGTGATGATGATGATGATGGTGATGATGCTGATGCTGATGCTTATGCTGATGATGCTGACGATGACGCATACGATGACGAAGAGGATGTGTGTGATCATGCTGACGGTGGTTTTCGGGCCACGGCTCGTGTCTCTAGAGGCTATGCGGGACGATCAGGGCACCCCATGACAGCTCTCAGCGATGCACATTTGTTAGAGACGATCCCGAGGCGAGACCACCTCCAAGATCCAACGACGACTGTGAGGGACGCTATGAGGATCTGAATGTGGAGGAGGAGGCGGAGGAGGTTCCCCGCCCTCTCAAGGTCTTCGACAGGAATGGCGACGGCTTCATCAGTCCCGACGAGCTCAGGACCTCCATGGTCAACCTGGGCGAGAAGTTGCTCAACAGCGAGGTGGATGAGATGATCAAGGAGGCTCCATGGAAGGAGTCGGAATCGGAGTCGGAGGAGGAGGAGGAGGAGGAGGGGAGAAGGACTCACAGAAGGACGTTGATGAGGAGAAGGACTAGGACGACGTAGGACGGGGTTGAGGATGATGATGACGAGGACGAGGATGTGGATGAGGATGGGGATGAGGAGGATGAGGATGATGAGGGGTTTGATGATGCTGATGCTGATGCTGATGCTGATGCTGATGCTGATGCTGATGATGATGCCGATGATGAGTATGACGATGCTGATGATGCTGATGGCGATGCTGATTACGATGATGATGGCGATGCTGACGATGATGATGCTGACGCTGGTGATGATGCTGATGCTCACGATGATGATGTGGGTGATAAGAATGATGGTGCTGCTGCTGATGGTGATGATGATAATGATGAGGTACGTAATGATGATACGGATGATGCTGATGCTGCTTATGCCGATGATGATTGTGATGACTCGGATGGTCATGTTGTCGATGATGATGACGCTGCTGATGAGGGTTATGACGAAGACTTCGATGATGTTGATGACGAGGATGGTAGTGATAATGATTATGATGCTCATGATGATGTTGATGATGATGATGATGATGATGATGTTGACGATGGTGATGGCCATGGTGGTGCTGGTTGTTATGCTGATGGTTGTGATGAATTGGGCCGTGATAGTGATTGTGACGGCGACGATGATGCTACTGCTGCTGCTGCTGATGATGCTGATGATGATGATGCTGATGACGATCTTGATACTGATGCTGATGCCGATGACGACTATGATGTTGATGATGACGATGCTGATGCTAATGATGATGCTGATGTCGATGATGGTGGTGTTGATCCTGATGGTGATCGTTCTGATTATGTTGGTGAGGAGGAGGAACAATAAGATGAGGAGGAGGGAGAAGAAGAGGAGGAGAGCCACTAATGCTGCAGTCCATGCCGATTGAAGTCTGGCCAACGCAAGAAGGAGAGGGAGGAGGAGGAGCAGGTGGAGGCGGAGGAGAAGGAGAGACCAGACTTCTCCTCGTGGTCGAGGAAACATGCGACTGTAGGTTTTTGGCGGCGTTTGGCATCCGAGGGATCTCACTGAGCCCAGGTCGTCATAACAACGACTCGAGATGAAACGAGCCCCGGGGAAGTGGTCTAGACCACTAAGTGTCCGCGTTGTGAAAAAGTAGCGGCGTCGGAGATCTGGGGGTGGTGGATGGAAGGAGGATGGGGGGAGGAAGATGGATGATGAGATGCCAAGCATCGGAGAAGGAGGAGGAGGAATATAACCAGAGGAAACCGAGGATGACTCATCGCTGTTGAAGTACACCCACGACGATGCTCATAAGTCTGTGCAGGCATGTTTTCACTGCGGGACCCCCCTCGACAGACGAGACCCCCAGTGGCTTGCCATTTAAGTTTTTGAAAATAAAGGGCCCTAAGGAGCGCAAAGGCAGCGTGGGACCAGAACACCGAAGGACATGTGCAGCGAGAGCCCCTTTTTGAAATGGAGCCGCCCTCCATCCGTGTAACTGTTACACGATATTTAACGTCGGGCCGCAAGTCATGTTTCAAGCAGTCTCGACGGAGAGCCAAAGCTTGACACGGAGCCGCCCGTCCTCCTTGTCATCGCCGCATAAATTTGCCGATTGGGTCGTATACCCCCCCGGGAAGTCTCAAACAAGACCTTCTGAGCAGGAGCCGCCTTCCCATCCTTGCGACAGCTCGAAACTTCTAAGACGAGTGTGCGCGGCGAGGCGAGAGCCCCGTATTGAGAACCACCCCGCCCTCCATCCCGTGTGTTGCTGGAGCTCCTGTGAGACGCATGGGCACGGCGCCGAGGCGATACCCACACGTTGGAAGCCGCATCTCCTCCTGAGCTCCATCCCTGCAGCTGCTGGGGGCCCAGGGCCTCGGCACCACCAGCGGCGATGAAGTCCTCATGCGAACGTCTCAGACCCCCCTACCGACACGCCTCGTGGTGCTGCAGGGAGGAGTTACCCTGCTGCCTGCGGCACGTCCCCGCCACGGTGCCAGCACACCGCCTCAGTGCGGCGGCGCTTCGCGCACCGCCCCGAAGGCCGAGACCTGTGGTGCCTTTTGTGTCTTTCCCTGCAGGGGCTCCTCGGGCCGGCCTGAGAACCTCTTGCGGCTCGGGACGATCGAAATGGGTACGGAAAGAATGGGTACAAAGACCAACAGCAGTTCCTGTTCATTTTGGGCAGGAGTCGCTCTCGGCGTCGCCGCGGACTGTGTCCACTGAAGACAAAAAGCCGCCTGCCCAACAGCGGCCGCTGTCGGTTTTGGACGACAGTTGCTGTTGGGCATTGTACCGATTCTTTCCATACCCATTTCGGGCGTCCAAAGTGGCCCTCTTGGGTCATATTGGGGACCTTGTTAGCTGTCCAGTGTGCCTTCTGAGGGGGCTGTCCTGGGCCGTCGGGGGGGTTTCTGAGGGCCATAATTGCGCTCTTTCAGTGTCTCTTTGGCTCCGAGGCGCACTTGGAACCAGATTGAGCCGAGGGGCCCATTCAACACATGTCCCCCTCCCCCCTGGTGTTTCTGATTGGTTTCTGGACGTAGTTTGGGGTTGGGAGCCGTCGTCCTGGCTCGATTCATTCTGCCCGGAGCCCCGCCCACCCGCCTGCCCGCTGCCCCTTTCGGCGGCCACGGCTGCGGCTGCGGCTGCGGCGGTGGGACGGAGGGCGGCAGCGGGAACGGCGCGCTCGGAGGCGGCGGAGCGGCCGCGCAGCGGCCATGGCACCCCCGTGGGGGCGTTGCTCTCGGCGGCGGCTGGACGGCGACGGCGGCGGCGGCTGCGGGCAGCCATGGCGGCGTTGAAGGTGGAAGCCGAGCAGCGTGGCTCAGCGGAGGCGGTGCACTTCGACATGGCTGTCTACGACGGAGACGAGGCCGAGAAGGCATTCTTTGTGGATTGGGGGCATGCCCCATGGAGGTGAACTCCAGAGAGCAGTACAACTTCGTAGAGCACCACGACACCGCCGAGCAGCACGAAGATGACGGACAACAGCACGACTCCAGAGAGCAGTACGAACGAGTCCAGGGAGCACCACGACAACGCCGATCAGCACGACGATGACGGACAGCAACACTATTCCAGAGAGAAACGCGACTCCGGAGAGCACCACGACACCGCCGACCAGCGCAACGACAACGGACATCAGCACGACTCGGGGGAGCGGTGCGATTCCGGAGAGCACCACGACACCGCCGAGCAACCACACGACGACGGACAGCAGTTCGACCCCAGAGAGCAGCACTGCTCCCGAGAGCGCGACGACACCGCCGACCAACACTTTGATGACGGACAGCAGTGCGGCACTGGAGAACAGCACGACCACGGAGAGCAGCACGACTCCAGAAACGAGGGCGGGACGTTGCGGACACCACCGAGACAGCGCTGGGGCCCAGAGGAGGAGGAGGAGGAGGAAATTTAGGTCTTGATTTCTCTGCTGCTGCCCTTGAACCTCGCTCGACCAGGCAAGGGCGCAGGGGGCAAGCTCGCGCTCGGGCCCGCAAGCTCATGCACTCTGTCAAGCATGGTCGGCAGTCTCGTTTGCACACTGTGCTGCAGGCTGTCTTGACCTCCTCGAAGTAGAGTCGGGCCGCTGAATAAGGAATCTTTCTCGTTGGGGAGGGGCTCAGTGATACCTAATGTTGTTGTTGTTGTTGTTGCTGCTGTTGCTGTTGCTGTTGCTGTTGTTGTTGTTGTTGCTGTTGTTGTTGTTATTGTTGTTGTTGTTGTTGTTGTTGTTGTTGTTGTTGTTGTTGTTGTTGTTGTTGTTGTTGTTGTTGTTGTTGTTGTTGTTGTTGTTGTTGTTGTTGTTGTTGTTCTAGGTGTTCCTTCGGTTTTCCATGGGCACTCGAAGTTCAACTTGTTGAAAAATGGGGCCTCGTTCCATATTTAGGGTTCCTTGTGGCAGCAGTTCGACTGTATGGGGGTAGCGTGTACGGCACCAGCAGTTCCGCTTTGCGCGAGGCTCGCGCTCAGCGGGCTCATGTTCAGAGTTTCAGTCTCGCCGGGAAAAGCGTTTCTCTCATGCTGATGTTGTCGCCTGCTCTCTGCGATCCTGCTTACCGCCTGCAGCTTGATCCTTTCGTCAGTTTTGCCGCTGCCGTGTGGGATGAGCTTCTTCACAGGAAAGTGTTGCTCCAAGGGCTTGTTTCCGCGGTGGCTGCGCTTCGGGACCATGGGAATCCCTGGGCCGCGGTCCGTGGGCCGTTCACTGCGTTCGCTGCCACGGCCAAACGGATCGGGGCCCTTGTCACTGGATTTGTCTGGAGCCATGAGAGGCACGGCTCGGTCAACTTGCTAATGCAGTCGCCGCGCACTGTGCGAACATGGCTCGTCTATGTGATTGAGCATTGTTTGTGGTGCAAGGCGGCTGAATGTGAGGGTGTGCCTGAGCTCGAGAACGGCGCCCACCTTGCCCCGCTCCGTTTCCTCCTACAAGGCTCCATTCTTTCGCCTCAGGAGAAAGGGTCTCGTCGCTCCGATTTTGCTGGAGGCCAGTGGCCGCAGCACAGGCAATGGGAGGCGGGGCTGGTGCAGGAAAACACGTGTCAGCTTTGCCAGGAGGCCCCAGGCACGCTATTGCACCGCCATGCTGCCTGCGGCATGCACGAGGAGATGCAGGCTGGTGCGCGACCGCCCACGTTTGCAGAAGACCTGGTGCGTACTTCCTCCAATTCTCTTCCTCGCCTGTTCGCCGAGAGGCTCCTCGTTCCTCGTTGCCCTGCCTGCCTCCCTACGCTCGCCCACTCGTTAGTTTGGAGGTGGGCCTGCGGAGATGGGTGGACACATCTTTTTTGATAGATCCTGGATGGACCACCACTTTCCGATGCAGTGGCAGGCCGCAGCCTGGGCGACTGTGACAGTCCATCCCTAGTCAGATCGCACAATCTCTGTTCGGTGTTGCACGCTCGATCTCGGATTGGTTGACATTGACGCTGCTGGGCTCGTGGCCCTGCGTAGAGCACTTCAACATGCCATCCCAGGCTCCACGTTGTGCACTGACAGCGCCTTCGTGCATGATGGCCTGTATGTGCGTGGGCGCGCCTGTTGCACTTCCTCTCGCTCCGCATGGGCGTATATCTGGGCTCCGGTTTGGGAGCGGGTGGTGGGCTGGTGGGGGGGGGACCGACCATGTTCGAGTTGCCAAGGTGCGCTCGCACTGCACGCGTGCAGCGGTGCAGAGTGGGCGCGCATCTGCATGGCTTAAGGCTGGGAGCGATCTCGCCGATGAGTGGACCCAGGGGCAGTGTTCTCGGTCTCGCATCCTTGATTGGGTCAGACAAGCCATCCCGGCTACAGCCAAGGTGTTTCGTGCGTGGGCCTCTTGGACGGTCAGGATTGAACAGCCCATGACCGACTTGGACGCTTTCCATGCCTCTAAGAAGGCTGCCAGCAGTGCGAAGCTGCTGCGACAGCACGCGGGTCGCTCCGCCCATCCACACGCCGCCTGTCCTCTCGAAAGCCGACACGGCACATGTGCGCGCTGCTCGAGTAGGGGGCAGGCTGCACGCTTCGCATCCGTTCCAAGTGGTTGGGGGTCAGTTGTGTATGGTGTGCTGTGTGTGTGTGGGGGTCGGGGGGGGCATCGTCTCGGCCAGGCTCGCGGGCTCCTGCCCAGGACCGCAAACCCATGTCTCCTGGGGTGCTCGCGTGCTTGCCAGCCCCGCCAGAGGTATATACTCCGTGAATAAGCAGTGGCGCTACTTAGTGCAGCCACTAGTGGCATCTGAGGTCCTACGCGTTGGCGAGGTTTCCTCGGGGCCAAGTTATATAGAGCGCCGCCGATCGGCCCCTGCTGATGGTGGCGCAAGCGGCAGTCAGGCACCATCCACGTCAGCGGCGTAGGTGGCCGAAGTGGCTGCAGCGCCACCCACGCCCGCTAGCGCGCAAGTGGCATGCGGTGTGACAGGCTCATGTTGCGCCATAGCAGCGCCGAGGAGGAAAAGGAGGAGGCGGAACAGGAGGAGGAGGAGGAGGAGGAGGAGGAGGAGGAGGAGGAGGAGGAGACGGGACAGGGACAGGGACAGGAACAGAAACAGGAACAGGAGGAGGAGGAGGTGGAGGAGGAGGAGGAGGAGGCGGGAGGAGGAGGAGGAAGAGGGAGGGAGGGAGGGAGGAGGGGGAGGGGGAGGGGGAGGGGGAGGGGGAGATGATCAGGAGGAGGTGGAGGATGAGGAGGAGGAGGACGACGACGATGATGATGATGAGGAGGAGGAGGACAAGGGAGGAGGAGGAGGAGGAGGAGGAGGAAGGGGAGGAGGAGGAGGAGGAGGAGGAGGAGGAGGAGGAGGAGGGGGAGGAGGGGGAGGAGGAAGAGGGGGAGGAGGAGGAGGATGAGGGGGAGGAGGGAGGAGGAGGAGGAGGAGGAGGAGGAGGAGGAGGAGGAGGAGGAGGAGGACCGTAGCCATTTTGGCTCAAGTAATACATTTGTCAAGGCAGCTGGCCAGGACAGCTCTTTGAGCTCTCGCCCACAGTTGGCTGCCAAGCCAGGGCGTGAGCAGTCATTTTCTCTTTCCCATACCACAAGGCTGATACCTTGTGGCGACCGTTGTCCAGCACGGCGCCTGTCCTTCGCTTCCGATTGCCCCGGCCGCAGCCATGCAGCGCTCTGGCACATCAGTGCGAGCGGCCGCTGCCCATCGATTCTCGAGTCCGTCCGCGACCAAATGTGAGCAATGTGGTTGTGGACGCAACAAGCGATGGTGGAAATGGTGCAAACACTGCAAGGCGCCGATGCCTGCTGCCGATGATGTCATGCTTCAACGTCCGCGTGGGCCTGGTCGGTCTCCTGGGCCTGCTGCTGATCGTGGTCAAGCTCTGCGACGCGCACCCTGGATACGACGTGATGCACAATTGGGTGAGGCCTCAGCAGTATCTTCCAGGCGCTGCACGGCGAGTCCCATCGGTATCATTTGCTGACGGCACACGGCCAGGAACTACATCACCCCAACGTTTCAGGTTGGAAGAATCGGCATGGCCAGGCCCCAATGGTGACTCGCAGGAGCAGGCACGTTTGGCAGACCTCATCCAGCTCCTTCGTGCCAATGGTGACGCGGAGATGGCAGCCAAATATCAGTCGAAGCTGGACTTGCTCAATCAGCAGAAGGCCATCGAGAACATCAGCGTCGGCCAGGCGAAGCAGAAGGTGGAGCAAGCGGAGGCGGCCCTCCGCAGGGCCATCACCTACTGCGAGAAGTTGGAAGAACAATTCGTCACGGCCCAGGACCAAGTCGAGTCCTGTTCGGATGCAGTGGACAATGCCCGCAGCATCTACAAGCAGGCGGTCCAGAAGCTTGCAAAGTCGGTGGGCACAAAACTGCCTGACAGCGCCGACGCTCCTACTGCCCCTCGTCTCGACCTGGCTGCAATCCTGGATGGCAAGCCCCTGGACCTCGACGATGGAGGCCTGTTTGGACTTGATGAGCTGGGGGAATTGGTTTTGGCCGAGGACCTGGTGGAGGCTCAGAAGAGGAAAGAGGCCCTTCATGAGAAGTTTCGGGAATTGGCTACCGCCTGTTTCGGGCAGGTCAAGGCCAAAGCTGATGAGCTTAAGCAAGAACATACCTTGGCTAAGCAGCGAGTGGCAGCTAAGAAGCGACGATGCGAGCAGCAAGAGGAGCCTGGGCCAGGTGATACAGCAGCTAATGATGACGAGGCTAAGGCGGCTACAGAGGCTGCTGCCAGTCAGGCAACAGGTACCTCTGCTGACCCCAAGGCTGCGCCTTCTACGCCTGGTGCGCCTGCAGCTTTTGAAGCCGAACCAGGCTCAAGCAAGAAAGCCACTGGCAAGCCAGCACGCCGTTCTGCATCGATCGTCAATGACGCGAAGGCCAAGCTGGCTGCTGGGTGCGCTGCTACAGGCCCACCACAGCAGGGGTAACATTGACTATGACTTCGACTACCAGCATTCGGTTTTGCTTGCTACTCCGTTGAGTGCAACCTTGGCTGCTGATCAATACCTTCCAGAGCATCACGCTTCAGTTGGTATTGCAGGTTACCCCTGTGACGGGGATACCAACTGGAATAATGATGCCAGCCTTTCTCTACCTTATGAAGAGCGTCTTGGTGGGATGCAGACCAGGGCCACCTGCGACTACAACCCCTGGCTGCCCTGGACACACCCCTCTTCCCCATCTACTTCTTTTGGCTCCTCTACACGATCTACTACTTGCAGTACCAGGAGTGGATCAGCATCTACACAGTGCGGCGCACTCACTGGCCCCACCTTTCCCGAGAAGGGGATGACCCCGTGGCGGGCCCACGGCGCGAGTCTCCCTGGAGGATCGGCGCGTGGTTTCCAGCAGAAGTCGCCGCAAGTCCATCGTAGAGGCGCTGCCAGACCTCCAGCTGGCCAGGGATGTCCCCCCACTGGGCTGGAGACACGAGCGACACAGATCACGGCCTCTGCTGGGGCATCTGCGACGACTGGTCCACCCACGACGGCGAGGATTACCGCGAGCAGCTCGGGTACCTGCGGTGCTGGGTCCTCCACGTCTTGGACGATTGCCACCAGTGGACCTACCGCCTCGTCTACTGGGTCATCGACATGGGCGTCAGAACGCTATGCGTCGCCACCAGCCTGTCCTTCCCCTGGGGCACCCTTTCCACAGGAGGCGAGGGAAACTGCGCATGGGGGAGGCGGGCTGGCAGCTTTGCCAGATTCGCGCATGGCTGCAGCGGGGCCTCGTGTCTTTGTGCCTGCGCCCTGCTTGGAACGACAGGCCAGAGCCTGGGCGCAGCGATGGGTCAGCAACCCGCATCGCGGACTGCAGCCAGAAGATGCGGCAGCATTTCACGATGTGGGTGAGGCGTTTTTGGCGCAAGAGCTTGCCCACCCGAGGTTTGCGCATGCCTTGCGCGCACGTATGCAGACGCCTTGGCAACTGGCGCATGAGATATGTGTTCGTGCTTGGCATAAAGGTGTGCGTAGTCGTCAGAGTTTCCGTCGTTGGTTTCGCAAGTTAAATAGCAATCAACAGTATGCGGCAGCTGGTATGCACAACTATGAATGGGAATATTTGAGGAATTGGTTTACAAGCCAGCACCGTCAGGGGCCAGCACCACCTTTTGGTCCACTACCTGGACAATCGCGCCGCGCTCCACGCCGACCAGCAGCAGCACCTACTGCATCCTCCAGTGCTGGCGCTTCAGCTGCGACGGCCTCGGGTGCACCGACTGGGGCTGCTGGTGC